GCGTCAACTGGTTACCGTAGTAAACCGACGTTTCGGGAACCAACGACTTCCGAGGTATTCAGTCACATCAGAACCCTGATGATGGGACAGAGTTGGTTCCCGAAACGTCGGTTTAATACGGTAGCCAGTTGACGCGGCTGATTGTCCGAGAATATTTTATTGATTCTATTTTTTCTTTGTACAGAAAGTAAAGGGGAGAATATTTTCGAATTAAATATTATCAAGTAGCATATGCAGAGGCTATTATTTCCTCATTTAATTATCACTGGCGCTTCTATTGTATCTGCCGGTGTTGTTACCAGACACTTAAATTTTGCAGCATTCTCAAATAATTTACTTGTAAAAGTTTAGAAGTAGAACATATCACGGTGAATGGTTGTTAATACTAAGCCGAATCCTCAAGGTGAAGGACACCATTATCGGCTGCTCACGACTGCTTATTAAAAATATATACATATAAAATATACATATTAATACATTTAATTTTCTAAGACTACGGCATTATTCACAAAAATATTTTTTCAATGAGCCGTTCTGGAGAGATGACAAAATTCGTTTTCAGTTTCATGTAACCTAAGTTACAGCCCGCCGAAACAAACAAAAATCAAATTTGCCCGATGACTTTAAGCGTAAATTCTTAACAGCAATTTTTCATTACTAAGGCACGGTGTTCTTTACCTTTTCTGTCCCAACCCCTAACATTTTTTAATTAAATTATAATTCCGTCAAAATTCCAAAATTTCGGTACGCTTCATGTTTGAATATATTTCAATAGATATTTTTATAGATCTAAAATATTCCAGACTAAACTTGCAGCCAAATTGAAACAATATTTGGTATTATATACATGTTTCATACAGTGTGTTATTTTCAAAAGTGGCAACAAATATTGAATTTTATTTAACGTTATAGTATATGCAATGTGACACGACACATCCAACTTGATACGCAATTAACATGACGTTAATTTAAAATGACGCCTAAAATTACTCCTTTCAATACTACTGAGAAGGCACCTTATTCAGAAACACCAACCATTTGTGTTCTAAAGTATAAATTTTATTTAATAGCACATAAAAATAAAGACCTCTCTCATCCCTTTGCTTATTTATTAATGGACGTTATTATTTTATTTATTTTTTATTTTAGTGTTCTGTCTGACGACAGGTCCATATGAACAGGATCCTTCCATCCTTTTCTCGGACTGGGACCTGTTCATATACGTTCTTGGCAGATGATCCAGAAGTGATTTGCCATTGCCTTCTTCTGTGTGTGAATGGAGTAATTGTTGGGATGCCAATGAGGAAAACTCCGTGTTGCCTAGGCCACGGCCTTGCCCAACACAAGTTAAAAATTCGGGCCCCGCCGG